ATTTACATGACCTAGTCTATCAGGCCATAAATTAGGAGACTCAAGCATATAAGCAGAAAGAGAAGCTTTCTCATTAAGTTTTGGGATAATAGTCATTACATTTAGCTTAAACATATCACCCGACATATATCCCTTCCCTACATAGACCCCGCTCTTGGTCAACACGACCTTATCAGACTCAAACACCATGCAAAAGCCATACTTTCTTAAGAACGACCCCGAGACAAGGTTCTTACGAATGTTTGGTACAAATAGGACATTGTTTAGAGTCAGCTCTTTTCCTAAAGTCATCTTCAGGACCACATTGTTTTTATCCTCAACAGTTGAGGTCGTAGAATTCTCCATGAACAATTTCTTACTGTTTGAAACCAATTCGAAAGCTGTGAACATCTTCTTCTCCGCACAGATATGGTGAGTGGCCCCAATGTCTACCTATCATTCCTTCAGGTTGGACCCCATCATGTTCACCTCTGAGACGACAGCTAACAAATGCATGTCATCCACATAGATCCTCCATTTCAACCATGTGGGCACAACTCTTGTTCTGTGGAGGGTACTTCTTGTAGGGTTTCTTCTTCTTGCGGTAGTCAACTGCCCAATGCCCATCACTTTCACAGTTGAATCACTTTCTGTTGAACCTAAAAGTAGGTTCCTGCGACTTGTAGACAGGCCTTTTGGAGACACTGCCTCTAGCCCCCAACTTTGGACTTTTGCCTATGGGTGGCTTTTTCTTCACCTCCGAGAACTCTCCATGCTTAACCATATTTGCTTTCATAATGGAGATACTCCCTCATTTCTTCCTGTTGTCTGCCTCAATTCGGAGCCTAACAATGAGCTCTTCGACTGTCATCTCATTTCTCTTGTGCTTCAAGTAGTCCTTGAAGTCTTTCCAGCCATTAGATAGCTTCTCAATCAACGCAACTGCTTAGAATGATTCACTTAGGAAAATTTCTTTTGTACAAATCTCGTGTAGAATTACTTGGAAATCTTGGACTTGATTGATGATGGTTTTTGAGTCCACTATCTTGAAGTCCAAAAACCGGCCAACGACAAATTTCTTTGGCCCAGCATCCTCAATCTTGTACTTCTTGTCCAAAGCATCCCACAACTCCTTTACCAATTTCTTGGTATAAAACACATTCAATAGTAGGCCTGCCAAGCTATTCAGAACATAATTCCGGCAAAGGAAATTTGGCTACTTCAAAGCATCTAGAGCCATGAGCTTCTGCTTATCTTGCTCATTCTCTTCCGCGGTTAGTGGATCTTCACTCAAAAACCTTGCAAGGCTTAGAGCAGTCAGGTAGAACAATATTTTCTGCTGCCACCTCTTGAAATTCACTCCCATGAACTTTTTCGGGTGCTCATGATGATTCAACAGTCCTCCCAAAATTGTTGGAGTAACAGCAGGGTTGACCATAGAGGTCACAACAGAGGTTGGCTAGTTCTCCCGAGGTTCTAATCCCCACCAACATTAGCAGCAGCAACACCAGTGACAATTGTCATTTCTGAAAAATACACTAGAATTTCACTATTCTGTATTTCCAAATATCAAAATTAATACTAGAAAATCTCAAAGTTGGAAATTTAATTCAAAACTAGTTTCACTACTTGACTTAGAATTGAACATGGTCAGGAATGTTTCCAAGAAGATTAGAGGGGTCACACCTAAAACCTAGTTAATCTTAGACAAAACTTTCAAGATCATGTTAATTCCTAATCCATGGGACACAATTTTTAGAATTAAGTTTTCCAATGGATGAATTAGGTTAAAACAAACCAAGTTCTATACTATACAAGCAATTAAAACAGGATTGCTATAAGAAATACAAGCAAACAAAATGCGTCAACACATTGGTAAACAACCACAATTAAAAATCAAACAAACAATTGTTTCAAATTTAGTCCAAAAAATTCCTTTCCACACACTTAGGTACTTCTGTTCAACACAAAAGGTTAATATAGTCCAATTATTTTTTCCCTTGCAATCCCAAATCCTATTCATTTGGATTTGTTTCTTTTTTTCAGTTCCCTTTTGCATAGGTATTCCTACAAAGAAAGTTGGTAGAAAACCACAACATAATACAAAGCAACCAATTAAAAGAAACTTATATTTAACCCTCCTAAACAATATATAATGAATAGCAAAATTAAGTAAAAATTAAAATGCTATATCAATTACAAAAATTAAACCAAAATTCCAAAATTAAATTTACAATTTAATTTACACAATAAACATAGACAAATTACAAAAACCTCTATAGCTCTAAATTCTTAAATTAAAATTTAATAGGCCAGAGTTATATAAAATTTCTATACAACAATAACCATGTAATAAACGTGTGAATGTTCTTAGCAATTAACATGTAAATTATTTTAGGAATAAGCTCATGCAAATAATTCTAGAAAAATAAAATAAAATCTAGAACCTAGAAAATAAAGCACTTGTATATCATACAAGAACAGTAGGAAATAAACACTAGCCCTAAAATAAATTTAAACACTTATGAACTTCCACAACATGATAAAGATCTAGAAATGAAAGGCATGAAAAAAATATTTAATAAACACACAAAACCGAACACAAACTGGAAAGGAAAAAAATCTGAAATAATTAATTCATCATTAAATAAATTGAATTGCAACAGTAGACTTTTTTTTTTCTTTTTTCTTTTTTCTTTTTTCTTTTTCTTCTTTCTTCTTTTTTTCTTTTTCTTTTTCTTTTTTTTTATTGAGTAACAGTGGCCTTCTGTATGCTACAGGTAGTCTAGAACAAACAAAGCAATAGCATGCATATATATTAATCTAATATTCTAATCATGACTTTCATAGAAGTTCTTGACATATTATGACACGGAAACCAAAGTAAAACCTGGACAATTTGTATATATATTTTATTATTAGGGGTTGTTTGGAATGATCTAAATAAATGTATTTTTTGACTTTTTATGAAATATGGGTTAAATTTGGGTTGAATTGGATTTGAAGTGATGTGTTAGAAAAGTGATGTAACTCTTTACCTTTTTCAAGATATATCAAACTTAACCTTAATAACATGTAACCAAAATTTTCCATTAAAATACATAAACATGTAATTGGTTTTTATATATAAAACATGACTTCTAATCAGAAATGTATACTAATCAAAACTGTACGCATGCATCCAATAAACAAATCTAATTACCAAGTGCTATGAACAGTGACCAATTGTCCTCCGATGAACAAATCAAAACAGTGTACAATTTCGGAAAAAAATTATTGCACATTACATATGAATCTATTTATCATAATTTATGGAAAATATAGAATCTGTTTTAAGATTGTTGTCCAAATTATAAAATTAAACAAAACAAATAAATTCATATTTAATAAATCAAGTTTAAGAATATGAAACATGATGAACAGAAATACATATGAAACAAAAAATGGTAAAAGAAAGTAAACCAAAACCTATGTGATACCACAGTCTCCTTAAAACAAATTCACTGCCTCACCGTGGGTGCTGGAAGTACATCGACGCCTGTTTCTCAGGATATGACGGTTTAGACCGGCTAACACAGAAGTACCTTCTGTTAGCTTTGACAAACCGACAATGGTAGCACTCTCTCACACAAAAAGAAAATTATAGAAACAAACTGACTATATATTCTAGAAGGCAAAAAATTCTGTGTACACAACCAAAGAAGTTGGTCTCTATTTATACATCATAAGGGGAGAGAGAAGGAGCCTCCAGCCATAAAGGTTAACAACTAATGCAGCCCATTACTCCTGCAAAACTAATGGGGCTTCAATGTGTGAGTTACACACAATATAAACATGTGTGTATATACATATTAGGTTGATGGACTACCAATCTGACCCAACTCAAATTAACCGATTCCAACAAGTTTCAAACCCAAGACCTAAGACCCACGGATCACGGACTGGTTCGGTCCAGGTGGGCGGCGCTCGCGCGACAATTTTTTCATAACCAACTTGGACCATAGTTTTGGCCCAAGCTCATCCTTGAAACATCCATAATTCCCTTCCTCCGGAAAATTTGGATGCCTCAAAGGGCTTATGTCCTTATCAAAATCTTGATGTTTAAATATCCATCAAAGTTTTCCTATACAATGAATGTGGGATTGATAGTTATATACAATTCTCAATACCTCATTCATGAGGCCAAATTTATGAGACAATTTCTCATTAAATTCTTAAGAGTTTTTTGTCATTCTTTTTGTGGTGTAAAGACGTTGTTACAAAGAATCTAAATCCAATTAATTCCACCTCAACTAATGATTGAGACCTACTTTAATATCACATTAAAGTTACTAAAAAATCATTTTTTTCCAACAAAATAAGTATCTAACTCTAAGCACTCAAATACATCTACCCTCACCCCCACAGGAATACTAAGGTCTCGTTTGAGAACAGGCTAATTTAGTAACTTTTTGACTATTTGGCTAAAATATGAGCTAAAAAAAACTAGTATATTTGGGATGACTTTTTGACTTTTTACGAAAAGATATGCAAAAAGTAGAGAGAAAAGAGAATCTTTGACTTTTTAGTATGAGTTGTTGATTTTTTGACCAATTTAGTAACTTTTTGAGTAAAAATAAGGGTTCCTAAACGAGGCTAATTATTATATATTTTAAAATTTGATATCGATGGTGTGGTGGACCAATAATTGAAAATAAATAAATAAATTATATGATCTAAAGCATAAAAAATACTCCATCCGTTTTAAAATATTAATACCTCATTTCATTTTTCTAAAATATTAGTCCATTTTAAAAAATTAAGAACTAAAATAATATAAATTTCCTATTTTACAATTCTTTTAAATTCATTAATAAAATAAAAAGTACAATTATGACAATTGATATTTTTTAAAAAAAGTATTATCAAAGGGTAATTTTGAAAAATTAATATTTTTAAAATACAATAATTGTATTCATAAAAAAAAATGAATTCCACAAAAGAAAATATTATTTTAAAACAGAGGAAGTATGATGAACAAATAACAAAATATTCGATCACATAATATATCAGACTCATAAAATAGTTTAGAGACACAGATAACCCATATTTTACAGTTTTTCATTTGCTGGAAAGAGCACATAGACTAACACACGATACTCGGCGACTACAGTAGTTTTTCGTTCTTCCCAATTGTTGCAAAGTGATTGAACAATAGTGGGAGGTTTTTTTTTTTTTTTTTATTTTTTTGGGGGTGTGGTCGGACGAGCAGTCCTTGAAGCAGTTTCCCTTTGAGCATTGAAGAAGACAGCAGCAACAGGAAGGCCAAGATCATTCTCTTGTGCAAATTTTTGGGTGTTGAATCGATCCCTTGAAGGAGGTGTATTCACTGCCTGCCTTTGTTTCTGCTTGAAGAGAACAAACACAAACCTGTGGATCCCTATGTTTGGCCTTGGTGCTTCATAGTTCACTACCTCTCTTCCTGTATATATTTCAAAAAAAAAAGAAAAAGAAAAACCCACTAGCAAATCAAGTATTTTTTTCATCAATCTGTGTGTGTGTGTGTGTGCGCTGATGAGAAGACATACCAAAGGAGGAATCTGTTGTGCCTGGAATGTCTGTGACTATCCTGTGAGATGATCAAAAGTTCCAAATGTTAGGAGTGGCTTGGAGTTGATCTTATATCCCGCTCTCTATTGTTGTTCAGTCCCAAGTCCTCTCTCTATGACATGATCATATTCAGACAAATAGATCTTATCATAGGAAGGGGGATTGAAACAGAAGACAAGGAAGGGTGATATAGAGAATCCTATGCGGTAATAGTTTGTAACTATAGTTATGTCTAGAATTTTAGAATATTAGCTCTTAGTAAACCTCAAAAATCAAGAAACTATAACCAATTAAGACTAACTTAGTTGACCATCATGACTGTCCTAAGGGTTTAATTCCAAGAGAATGTCATAGGTTCAACTCTCCCTTAGGGAGAGTTGAATTAGGAGGTAAGTGCTTGGTGTTTTGCAAGAATGGAGAGGCTAATTCATATAGATGTTAATCTAACAATTAACAACCTACTTTCATCGATTAAAAAAAAAAAAAACAAAGAAACTATGAACCACAATTGGTATGAGTGTGTATTGGACATTCCCACTACAAGAAAAAGCGTTTTTTGCTACCAAAATTTCATTTTTCGTCGCTGAAAGTAGTACAAATGGCGACTAAAATGGAATTAGTCGCCAAAATTGAACACTTTTGCCGACTAAAAGACTTTAGTCGCCGAATACAATGGTTTTAGCGACTAAAAGGCAGTTTAGTCGCCGAATGTAGGGGTTTTCGCCGAATGTAGGGGTTTTAGCGACTAAAGGTTGTTTAGTAGCCAAAAGTGACAGTTTTTGGCGACTAAAATAATTTAGTAGCCAAAAGTAATAGTTTTGGTGACTAAAAAGCAGATTGGTCGCCGATTGTAGGTGTTTTACCGACTAAAAACAGATTGGTCGCTGAAAGTGAAGCTTTTTGGCTACAAAAAAAAATTAGTAGCTAAAAATTGAGTATTGGAGACTAAAATTCAGTTTAGTCGCCAAAAACGTCCCCTTTTGGCGACTAAAAATAGGTTTCGTCGCCAAAACTGCTGATTTTTAATTGGAACTTCTTTTTTTAGCAACAAAAAAATAATTAGTAGCCCAAAATAATAGAAATGGCAACTAAATAATGGTTTTAGTAGCCAAAAGTGGCCTAAATTTTTTTTAGTAAATAATTTATTTTTTACATAAATTATATTGAATTAAAAAAATTATATTTATAAATATTATTTTGTATTAATAGCAGTTAATATACTATATAAATAATATATATTGCATATATATTAATGTGATGCTATAGTGGCGTAGTGGAGGGAGTGTTTGGCAAAAGGTTTGGAATGTGGGGATGGGATGTCTCAGGTTCGAAACCTGCGAGCAACGGGTTCAAAATTTTTTATTTTTTTTTAATATGCTTTTGGCGACTAAAACAGGTGGTCGCCAAAAGCTTTAGTATTGGCGACGAAAAAAATGGTCGGCAAATGTATAAATTAAAAAAAAAATTCACTATTGGCGACTAAAAATTTAGTCGCCAAATGTATAATTTAAAAAATATAAATGAGCTTTGGCGACGAAAATTTTAGTCGCTACAGAGTTTGTTTTTGGCGACTAAAAGTGGGTTAGTCGCCCATACCTTCCGCGACAGTTTTCCAGCGACAAACATGGTGACTAAAAAATTTAGTCGGGAAAAGCTAAAACCCGACTTTTGGCGACTAAAAAATCACTTTTGGCGACTAAAAATTTTGTCGCCAAATGTGTATTTTCTTGTAGTGTCCATATATATATATATATATTTTTTATCGGCAAAAACAAAGTCTTTATTGATGAAACATACAGAGTATGAAATATTACATTCCATATGGTAAACAATAAGAGGTCCATTTACATGTCCATGGTAATCCTTGATGCATATACATGTTGTGCATCATTAATTGATTGGTAAATTCCAACATTTACTCATATGTGCATAATTTTTTTTTTCGCATTTGTGTGTGCGCGCGCTCGTAAGGTTAGGGTTTGGCACAACGGTAAGATTGCTCTATTGCAACCCAAGCGATACGAGTTCAAATTATGAAAAACATGCCTCCAAATGTGGCTTAAGGATACACCCTCGCTAGACCTTGCAGTGGTGAAAGCCTCGCCTTAAGACTACATTTGTGTGTGTGTGTGTGTGTGTGTGAGAGAGAGAGAGAGAGAGAGAGAGAGAGAAAAAAA